GTCTTTCTGCCATCTCATTTTGCCATTCCTCTTGCTTAAACTTTCTTTGCTGTGCTGACACATTCTGATGCTTTATTATCTTCATAAAGGTGTGCAGTATATAAATGCTGCCTGAATATTCCAGAACTATTTTTCATTCTGTTCAGTTTTCTTCCTATATATTTTAGGGTATTTTGATTAGTAACAGCTTGTTTTATCCTGTTTTCTCCTCTTCACTTTTATAACTCAGTACTTCATATTTAGTAGTTGATTATTTAATATATTGTTATTCATTTGATGATAACAATAAAACTAAAATTTATTGAGAGCTTAGCATGCCTCGAGTCCTATACTATAAAATTTGTACATTTTGCATTTTTTAACCACAATTTTTTTGAGACAGTATTTATTAATATTTTTAATTATATTGTTTGAAGTTGGTGATATATTGTCACTCAGATGGAGTATTTTGGCAGGAGAGAATTTAACAATGAGCAATTCTTAGTCCTTGCACTCATGGAGCTTCTATTTTATGAGCAATAACTAAGCTACTTTGATAGTAAATATATTCCAAGTAATAATAAGTACTTTGAATAACAGCTGGGGGAAAGAAAGAGATTGACTGAGGTAGTAGAATGAAAGTGAAGCTGTTTAAGATCCTAAAAGGACTTTTTTGAGGTAATGACCTGGGTGGAGTTAGAGCTAGTGGTGGGAAGATCTGGTGTTCCCAGTGGAGGTACTAGTGAGTTGTTTCATCATTTTACATCAGCAACAGATGAAAACCCCCAATTTCCCATAACTCCCACCACTTAATATTATTGAGATCAAAACTTTTTTTCAGTATGATGGGTAAGAAATAACATCTTAGTTACAAATACATGTCTTCATATCTTTATTGGCCGATTTACCTTTCTGTCTTGTTCATGTCCTCTGTTGGTATTTCTTTGAAGACATATTTGTCCTTTCATTATTTATAGACGTTTCTTGTATATTCTTGATGCCAATCTCTTCTGTTGCATATTTTATGATCTTTTTCATTTGACTCTGATGCAACTTCTTGCTACTATCATCTCTGACTGTTAATTCTGATTTGGGAGACATTGTTTAACTTCCACAAAACCACTTTCCTCCATTGGAAAGTGAGAATACTATCTATTAATTGTGTTGTGAAATGCCAATGAAAAGGACATATGAGCTGTGATTTTGAGTTTCTTATTTGATTTTCATCAGCCATTTTCTGAGTTATACAGTGAGAATATGCTACTTTTTAGGTTTCTTGTGAAATGCCAATGAAAGAGCATGTGAAAGCACATTGGACAGTAAAGAATACCCCCAAATGTAAGGCATTTGTCCTTTGCCTTTGTGGTGACTTATCCCTGGGAACTGGCTTTTGGGAAGCATTTCACATCTCCATAGATTGAACAAACCCCTGAGAGGTGGCTGTCACAACATAACACTTGTTTCTTTTATTCTTCGTTCTCTTGGGGGAGGAAATAGGTGCATTAACAAGATGTGCTGACATCAAACTCAGTTGTTCTTGGACTGCATTGGGTGGAATGCAGGAGGAGAAATGCAAAATCAGTAGTCTCATTTCTTTGTCAGTCACAGTGCTTGCCCCAAGGATTGACATGGTGGAATGTAGACATGCAAAGAACCAAATGTCTACAAGGTTAGAATTAGCTTGCCTTTTGTTAGTACCCGGGTCTACTCAGAACAAAGGTTTCAGAAATAACTGTTTCGTTCCAGCCACAATTAGGGAGATACGAAGGTACAATCTCCTGGCTGCCTTTTGACTGATGAGTGACCTCTGCAAATAAATCATTAACAAGTGTGTGATATCACCGTGTAGTTTGGGGATAGGTACACTTAAATATCACCTTAAGCCCAGGCATTCTGTGCCCCAGCCCTGAGCCATGCACTTTAGTATCTGTCCTCTGATGGCACCTCTTCCTTCTAGCCTCTCTCCAAGTCGCGCAGATCCAAGAATCACCTGAGGAAATGTCCTGGACCTGCTTCCAGTGCTCATAGAGCCTCTTTCTGAGTCCATCTCCAAAGGTTTCCACCCCACAGGTGACCTGTGCATTTCTAGGTCCCAGGCCATAGGGAGTCTGAGGATGTCCCCAGAGGGAGAGAGCACATGCTGGCTTGAGAACCTGTACACAAGATACCTGTGATTCAGGAAGAAATGGGAAGTTGGGATAGAAAAGAGGTGGGCTTGGGACTGGAGCCCTTCATTTGTTCCTTCACCCCAGTCTGTGGCTGTTTTGGTCAATTCTGCCCAAAGGAGACTCTCCCTTCTGAAGAGCATCTGCTTGTTTTTATGGGTTAAAAGCCCCTAGAGAAGGGATTCTTCACCACCAATTGTGAGTCTGAGTAGAGCTGGCTCAATACTGACGCCAATTAATCTTCAAGAATATTCTCAGAGAGAGTGGGTCTGGGAAGTGGGATGGGTGAATTCCTTCCTGAAAGGAGAGTGTCTGTGCGTCTCCCCTCTCTCTCCTTTGGGTAGGCAGGGCTGCTGATGCTTTGTGAGAAGGAGGGAGGATTCTGCTGACACGCTGTATTTTTATGGAAGAAGGGTAAGGGTTCCCTTATCTCTCCACACAAGGCACATCTGTCTGCAAACAGGCTGTTTGCTTCTTAGGGATTCCTTCATCGAGCTGTTTCTTTTCTGAATGTGTTAAGGCATAGTTTGGTGCATTCCTTTCTGTTCTCTGGAGCCAGGCAGAAAGTCATAATATATCAGGGCTCTTGCTGAAAGAGCTTAACATGGGCGCTGGCAGCTGGGATGTGGGGGAAGAGAGCTTTCCAGGGACAAGTGACCTGCTTGTTCAGCCAATAAGAAGCAGGTTAGAGGAATGATATCATCAGACAGGCTTTATTGTCTGATCATCTCATAAAAGCAGGATTGTGTCTGGCAACTTAACCCCTTTTTAGTTACTTCAGGTCTCACCCACTCTCTGGTGTGTGATCTCCAGGTTCCTTTTCCTGGCTGCTTGGCTGGGAAAGATTAAAGAAAGATTAAAGATTGAAATTGGTAAAGAACCAGGGGGTATTGTAAACCCCCATTTAAAAAAATACAAATTATTAAAATTTAGAACATAGAATGGGAATGTCAGCTAAACTGTGTTTAAAGAGCACATACAAAGGAGATACTGATTTTAGTCTTGTTATATCAGACTTTTACATATAGACTGGGAGGGGGTGAAAGGAAATTAGAGGGGAATATTTTAACCTATTTGACAAAATCTTACTATTTCCTGTTTTGATGGAATTGAAATCAAGTCTACAAATTTGGAAAATATCACTCATTCTATAGCCACTTTTAAGTAAGACATATTTGTACTGTTTGTCTATAGTGTACTTTTTAATTGTCTTTCTCCTGTGAAAGTAGCAGCAGTTTTACTTCTTAATGCATCCTTTTTCTCATCAGTAAAATGAAGTTGGTGATTTTCTCTTACGCGATAAGGGAGTTGAAATGAAAAAAAATAAATTCATGTGATTTTTAAGTTGTGCTATACCCATGTAAAGTGTTATTATTAAGGCATCGATGGTTTAATATTGTATGCTTGTTTGTTCAGCAGGCTTTTCAAACTCCTTCTAGATCCTGGGCACAGATGAGAGATGAAGGAAGTAGTTCTCACCCATAAAGAATTTAAAACCTTACGAGGGATATAGACAATGATAATAATGTCTGCATGTGTGTGTATTTTAAGTACTTTGTTTTAAATGCCTTGGCTGTATTACTCGTTTTATCTTACTATAACCCAATGAAATAAATACTGTTATTAGCATCATGTTGCAGATAGAGAATTTGAGACAGAAGGACTGGGTGACTTACGTAAGATCACATAATTTAGAGTTGGAATTGAGTCTGGCAGTGTGACTCTAGAGTTTGTGCTCTATAATTGGTGACCGATCAATGTAATAACTACCTTTATGTGACTTTGAAGCATTAAAAAAAAAAAACATGATTAGATCAAATTGAATTGGACTGTAAGTGTAAAATGCACACTAGATTTCAAAGCCCTCATATAGAAAAATATCTAAAATACTTCATTTTGAAAGTATATCTTGCAGTGACAATTTGAATACTAACTAAAATATATTAGATTTTAGATTATATTAAATGGCTATATGTATATAAATAAGTAATATATAAGTTAATATAAAATATGTAAATGGACTTAAGAAAATACATTAAAATTAATTTTACTTTGATTTTCTGATTAGAGAATTTAGAATGACATATGTGGCTTGTGTTTGTGCCACATCACAGTTCTGTTGGGCCATGAACTCTGAATCATCCGCAGCAGTAGCAGCAGCAACAATCATAATGACAGTGACTTCTATTAAGCACTTCTATTATGTGGTCGCATACTGTGCTCCTCCCTTTGCAAACACTATTTCAGTTAAAACTCAGAACAGCCATCGTATGGTCCCAATTTTATAGAAGGGGAAAAAACTAGTTGAGGTTAGTCAATTAGTTAACTAGTTACTGGAAGACCCCAAATTTGAGGCCTTATATGCCTGACTTAAAAGCCCTTAACCTACACACTTTAAGACCATTGCCAGTTAAATCTCAGGATATTTTCCTTTTTAAAATTTGTATTAGAATATCTAGAATTGCATGCTTTTGTATTTGATTTGTAGGGTTCGAAATAAAAGTTGTCAGTCACAAAATAGACATCCCAGATGCGAATCTTTTCTGCAGAACTTCTGCCCTCAATGAACACTGGCACAGTTGAACCCTGAGATGAAGCAGTGAGGCAGCCTGTACAAATTACATTTAATTTTCATTGTAGTAAATCTCTCAAGTCACTGGGAAATATGTGTCCAAATGTGTTTGTCCATAGAGAAGAGGAAGAGGAACAACATAATTCTCTTTAATAGTTCATTCAGTTCTCTTGATTGATAAAAAGAGAAAAAATGCTTCCCATTTCATTGTCCCATGAAGTGCTGTGTGTGCTTGAGAAAGAAACAAACTGCTGATGAGAGACCCTGACTTTTCTTTTTTCTAGAGCAAAGACACAGACCAACTGAGGACAGCTATGATAGAGTTGGTGGAAAGGTTATATATACTTCAAGTGCTCAGACCTTGAAGTTCTACCAATCTTTGGAATTGATGGGGTGTTGATACCCCAAGTATTTCATTCTCCTTGGACTAAGTTCGGGAGATGATCATCTTTTTGAACACTGAATCAAGATCTAATTAAGCCTACCCATCAAGCAGTGTTGTACTATGCCGGGAGATAAGTCATCTATTTCCCCCTTCTCTATTTTATGACTTAGAACACATAATCATTAATTGTTTTTCCCTGAACTGCAGACAAGTGAATTTTTAATCTTCTTTTACTGGACCTTTGAGACTACTATTCTCTGTGTCCATTAAATCCAGCCAGAGGCATCGGAGATACTGACCAGCTTACTGCTGAGAACTGGACAGGCTCTGGACCCTCCTAGTGGGGGGTTCAGCCACCAGCATCTTGTCTGTCCCTCATTCACAGAGCCAGGGGCCATGTGTGTGCTCTTATCCTCATGATTTGGAATCTGGCCCAGAAAGTGCTTTAAACTCTCCAAGGTTTGCTTTTTTATTTTTTGCAAGATGTTGGGGGACTGAGATTCGATATTCTGAGAGATGCCACGCAGGGTTGAGGGGTACTGGGAACTGAACATGCTGAGGGGTCATCACTGGCACCCACTCCCTTCCTCTACCCAGGTTCTTCCTGTGGCACAACTGGTATCGGTGCCAGCTGACTCCGCCCGAGAGTCACAGCCTCTCACCATTAAGTAGGGACAGTGGGTAAAGAGCATAATTTTGTGTGACTTTGTACATCTCTTTATTTTTTTAATTTAAAGTTCTAAAAAAGGAAATAAGACTAGCATTTCTTGAGCACCCACTGACAGCCAGGCACCCAACTTAGGAGTCTTACAGCCTTTGAAAAATTTGTAAAATATACACAATGAACTTTACCATTTTCACAATTTTTACATGTGCAGCTCAGTCACACGAGGCACATTTTATTGTTGTATAACCACCACCGTTTACCTCAGGAGTTTTTCATTATCCCAGACCCCAAATTCTGTGCCTATTAAACAGTACTTCTTATCCCCCTCTCTTACATGCTTGTAATGATGGCAGTGGTCCTGCAAAGTTAGCGTAGTCCCCTATGATTCATGAGGACACTTGCCCCAGATCTAGTATAATTACAGCCGAGAGTCACACTCGGACTGCACTGCCCTGTGTGCTTTCTTTTAAGTTGCGCTGCAGGCTGATACTGGGTTTCACCTCCTCTCTGTCCTGTAATGCCATTGTTCCCCACTTTCTAATGTGAAACACAATGTGCGCAGAGCCACGGACAGTGTCAGCCTCTTCAGAGGTGGCTGCGGTCACCAATATGCAAGATAACTTTCTCCTCATACAGCTTTGAAAGTCTGGGGGCACTGGTCCTAGCTCTTGTCTTCTGCTACAGTTAGGGCTTTAGAGCTAGATTGGGTCTTGAGAAAAAAAAATGGGGTGACTTTTATGTTCTTAGCTTGAAGTAGAAAAACTCCCGATGTAAATAGTTTTCTTTAAGTGAAGATAAGTCAAATAATCATTCACGATGACAGAAAGCTTTTTTTTCTTCAATTTTAATCCTTCAATTTTTTTTATTACAAAAGTTTATTTTTACATCATTTTGTAAATTTTTTTCCATCTCGATTGTAATCCCCACGAGTTTCCCATCACCAAGTCACCAGTGTGCCATCACCGTAATCACCGTGCATTTCCCTACCCCCACCCCATTTTTGATCCCATTCCCCACTCCACGCCCACAAAATGTCTCTGGTATATGGTTGTTCATTATTTTTGTTATTTTCTCGCCTGGTCCATTATACTCCTGCTATGAGTGAAACCATCCGGTATTTTTCTTGACAGAAAGCTTTTTTATTAGGTTCTTCTGCTCTGGGAGGTAATCACTCCAACGAAAGAGACACCTGTGCTTCTGCCATGCCTGCATGCCTATGGGGGGGAGGGGTCAAAGGTGTGGCAAATCACAGTGGCCTCCGGGAATGATGACCATACAGGGAAAATGCTTTGTAATTCTTCATGAGTGCACATATGGTCCTGAAATGGAACTTGCTAGGTGTGAGAGAACTGAGTGGCCCTATTTGAGCATCCATGGGGACCTCAGGATTTTCCCACACTGCTTCATAAGCTAAAGATACTGGTTAGGATCTGACTTGATGTTAGATATATGCAAGTTATCATTTTTGTCTTCTCATTTATCTTCTGTTTGCCCTGCTTTAGAATATTTCCCACCTGGTTGTTTTATCAAGCCCCTTTCTAGAAACCAGATGCATGTGCTGCATATACCTGGAACCAGCTAGAAGAAGGGCCAATATAATTGCAGAATGACTGCCGGATGATAAAGCAGGAGAGGGGAAATGGATCATTCCAAACATAATTTCTGCAACAAAGAAAATTTTCCTAGAAATAAATTGGTACCTTCCAACAGTGCCCGTCGGTTTTATCCTTTTCTGTTTTCCCTCTTTTTATGCTGACCTACTTAAAAAGGGCAGACTCTGTCCGGCTTTATGACCTGTCGTTTCCTGCACAACAGCTTCACAGAGAAGCACTGATTGAGTCATGGCACACTGAGAGCTGTCTCTGCCCCACTTCCTCTAGAATTCCCTAAGGCGTCACCAAGCTTGATTAGTCCAGACACTGAAGTCTGTGAGAACTGAGTTAATTTTTACTTCTAAGTTATGCCAGAGAGGAGCAGAAGATTCCTATATTAGCCTTTTTTTTTTTGAGACGTAAAGCTAAATTCTTATAGGTTTAAAAATGCAGATATATGTAACAAGAAAAGAAAATGAATTTCCCTTGATTTAACTGGTATGTAACAGTCTAGATATTTTTCCATGGGGCAGCAGATATACTTTCCTGTGTCAGTATATAGATTTAATTCTTAATGAGTTGCATCACTTTTGTAAAAGATTTGCCTTTAAAATATTTTCTTTCAAGCCAGCGATTCTTAAACTTTTGTGTGCATGAAAAACCTGGGGGACTTTATTAAACTCTGGGTTCCACCTGAGTTTGATCCAGCAGGTCTGGGAGTACTAGAGGTTGTGCTAGACCTTGGCTTTATTCTTGCCCTCTTGCTTTTTTTTTTTTTAGTTCTCTTCAGCAAATAACCAGAATAGTCCTTTTGAGTAAGTCTAAGTGATTTCAACTTTGAAAAAAAAATACATAAAATTCAAGCCTAGAAAACAAGTGATCTAAGATAGAGCAAAGGAGTAGGGAATGAAGGAAGTGCCCGCTGCATCAGCTCAGGAAAACAGGAGTCCCGTAAGCCATTGTGTCCAGCAGAGAAATGGCAAAACCAAAAAGAGGAGAAGGAACCCCATTCAGGGCTTGCGATGAAGATCAGGGCCGCTGGTATGGTGGCCTGAGCAGACTGACCCTAAGAGCAGAGGGAAGCACCTGCCACTGGAGGTGAGCCAAGCCAAGATCAGCTGTGGGGGGCAGCAGTGAGAGTGGACATCCTGGTACAAGAATGAAGGATGACGTAATGCATGTGTTTTAAAAAAAGAGTCAGTGAGGACTGGAAAATAAGGCGTGGGGGCAGAGAAAGTTGTGTGTGTGAAGGTTGAGATGGTGAGCCCTGTTTTCTTAAAGAGTGCATACCCACGGGCAGCTACAGCCTGCCTAGGGTGGAAAGAGATTATTTACTTTTGATAACAAATGTTCTTTAGTTTGTGTAATGGAAGCAGTATTTAAAGTAATCAGACATCCTAGCGTGTTCAACATGATTCAGTTTGTAAACTTACTTTTTTGAGCCCAACTTTCAGAAACATCTATTTCACAAAACAGGAGTTTTTTTTTGTCTGTGGGTTTTTCATATTTTGCTAAACTTTCAGGAATAAAAGATACAATTAACCAGTGTGTGTGTGTGTGTGTGTGTGTGTGTGTGTGTGTGTGTACTGGATGTTTATGAAATCTAAAGCATTCTAAGTACTTTATCTTCACAGCTTTACTTTGTAATGACCATACAGTGATCTTTTATAATTTACCCAGAGGAAACCAAAGCTTGGAAATCACATCGATTCCCTCCCTTCCCTGGCCCAGTCTCTTGGAAAGCATTGAACCAGAAGCATAGCAGGCTAAGCTCAATCAAACTAACCTCTTATTATGCAGTTAATAACGGCCACTTTCTCTATTATGTATTGATTGCTTTTATTTCCTTCTAAGATGCACTGTTCATTGTTTTCTGTAACTGGTATACTTGAAAACAGTTAAAATCACAGTGTGTATCCTGAATTCATACTAATTTTATGAGTTATTCTTTTTAAAAAGTATCTTAAAACTTGAATTAAGTGGCTTACATTTTGTTTGACTGGAGTGACAGGAAACTTGGGATCTGGTCATACCAAGACCTCCTGAACATACAGGCCTTTTTTCTTATTTTCTTAATCTCTAGAGGTATTGTTTTTAATTAAGGAAGTACCGTTATTTTATATCCTTGTTAATACTTGACACTATAGAATGTCTCCCCTCATGTGTGGTCACTGTAACTCTCCCTCTAGAGGTATTCTTGCTGAAGTTTGAAATTAATAAATTGCCTGGCAATTGAAATTAGTTGAATAGGTCTGAGAATTGTTTTCTTATTTTCTGATTTTTATGTAGCATTTATATATCATTTTATAATTGAAAGAGAACATAACTGCCCTTTTTAATAGCTGATATAATTAGCGTGCACCACAGCCCAGTCCTTTACTCACCTGTGCTAATTGTTAAAATGATAGGTTTTTCATGTACAAATAGTAATGGATGCAAGCAAAACCTAATTGAATTCTTGTCAGCACCGTCAAGCCAGGCCTTCTGCTTATCCTTGTCCTGCTCCAAGACAGAGACATTCACTGGGGGCAGAGTTGATTCATCCAGCATAGAGTAGAGATGCCTCAGTCATTAAGTTGATTCATTCAAAAGTGTTCTCTTGATTGGAGGAATATTAGAATTAGTGTCCTAGTTCTACACTGCTCAAAAGAAAATAAATCATCACTAGACCTATTAGTATGGTATACATAGTAAGAATATACCATG